GATGAGGCTTTCTACTCCCGTAAAGATTTACACCCTTGGAAACCCTGTACAGGGTCGCTATGGGTCGGAACCGACTCGATGGCACTTAACAACAACAAGTGTACTGAAATAAAAGTGTATGGTACCATCAGCCAAAAAAATTAAACCTGAATCTGATCAAGACTTTAGATAGATCTCTCCATTTACAGAAAATACAAGGGACAGAGTAACACTGAACCACAGAGATCTGCCAGAAAAATCCAGAATGTGGAAAATTCTACCAGATAAAGATCTGATTCCTTCAACATATTAGCCTCAAGGGGGAAAAAAAAGAGAGAGAGAGAGAGAGAAAAGAAATCTATAAATTAAAAGAGACATTACAACCAAATGTAATGTGTAGACCTTGTTTGGATTCTTACAAGAAAAAAAAAAGTGAAAAAATATTATGAAATAACTGAGGAAATTTAAATATTGACTAGATATTTGGTGATATTAAGAATTATTACTGTCTTTCCAACCTAGTCCCATCACTGTGGCTCCTGCAATGAAGGGTGGCAAGAAGGGCCATTCTGCTATCAACAAAGTGGTGACCAGAGAGTACACCATCAACATTAACAAGCACATCCATGGAGTAGGCTTCAAGAAGCATGATCCTCGTAGACGCGAGGAGATTCAGAAATTTGCCATGAAAGAGATGGGAACACCAGACATGCTCATTGACACCAGGCTCAACAAAGCTGTCTGGGCCAAAGGAATCAGGAATATCCCATACCATATCCATGTGTGGTTGTCCAGAAAACACAATGAGAATGAAGATTCGCCAAACAAGCTCTATACACTGGTGACTAATGTACCTGTCACCACTTTCAAAAACCTACAGTCAATGTGGATGAAAACTAACAGCTGATTATCAAATAAATTTATAAGTCTGCCTTCGAAAAGAATTGTTGTTAATTTTTGTGTGTGATATGATACTATTGTTGTTGTTATGGGACTTTTATTTTTAACACTATAAACTGTATAATTACAGATGAAATTATATGATAACTGAATGTTGATTCAGGATGTTCCATTCTGGAGTGGACAAGGGATAGAAAAATCAAGATTGGCCATGTTTTGATCATGTGGAGGTTGGGTGATAACTATATGGGTGGAGAAATACTACTCTCTACTTTGTGTAAGTATTTCTCAAGCTGGGGGAACTGAAGAAAAAATTCAAGCCTCGACTTTCGCTATTGAAAGATTCACTGGGCAAATTATTGAATGATGCAGAA